ATACGAGAGCATTCGATTTTTACATTTCTATGATTATCAAATCCAATATCTGTCTTTAATATGATTCCAGCGAATTGTATTGCTGGAAAAAATCATTATACTCACTTTTATTCCGGAAATGCTTGTTCCATTTTCTTTATTTAATCCTTAAGTGGACTTTCAATTTTTAGTTTAATACTCGGAATTTATATTTAATTATCAAACTGATAAATAGAAACAAATTTTTCTGCACAATATTAAAGATAATCAAGAATCACATGAATTTACAAATAACGATAAAAGTTGTGTATCAACGTGCTGATATAATTATCAATTTGAAATTAAATGAGACCGCAGCGGTCTCAACGAGCTCCACTTAAAGGGCAGGCTCCTGACCAATACTAATTACTTCTTCTCTCCACTTCACACCTACTAAATCGCACCGTAAAAATATAAAAATATAAAAAAGGAACAACGAGTGTCTTCAACCTCGACTCGCAGAAAATCAAATATAGGCAGCATTCCTCGTAAATCTCTCGCAGACCTCGCGAATCAAAGTTGCTTCACTCTTCTTCAGCTGGTCGTTCATCCCCCGTCAGATTGCTTCTTCACACCGTATCATCGTCATCGTTCTCGCAGTCATCATCAAGACCTGAAACAGCACCTCATGTAAAAAAAAAAAAGAAAACAGAACGAAACAAAAAAGCAAACGAGACATCAGCTCGATTTCTACTCTCTGCTTGCAGCAACATAGCTAGATCGATCGTCCATCAAGATCGTCGAAGCGAAGTTAGAGAAGGTACGTTCGCGTAAAGATCTCGGGGGAGGAAAGTTTGTCGTTGCTGGTGAGGGAGGATTGATAAGCCTCCGGCAGGGCAAGTCTCTCGAGGAAGGACAGAGGAAGAAGGAACCAGGTGCCCCAGCTACCTAGGAGGGCCTAGCACCTGGCTGTGTTCAGTGGTTATTGACCAAGGGGAGGGGGGGTGACGGGTAACAGCACCTAAGGGCGGGTGGGGGGATGCAGCTCGAAAGGGTGGCGGCATGGAGGAGCCCTCGCTGGAGGCTCTCATGCAGGCGAGCCTCATCTTCGTGGTCGGTGTCGCCATCATCCTATCGAATCTCCTCATCATCGCTACCTACCTTAATTTCCGTGGTGAGTGCTTTAATAAATTTTATCTAGGTTCTTTAGGCGGATTTTCACGCGATTTATTAACGCGAGGACTGTCGAAAATTTGTTAAATAACGCGAGTCTCGGATTTATTTTTTATATCCTTCTTTTTGTGGCTATTGAGAGCATGTGAGTGTTTCTGGTGAAATTTTTTTATTGGACTATTTTGATTATAATTCTGGATATCATAGGATATTCAATCTGTACGTTGTTTCAACGTTGCAATGCGACACGAGAACGCGCAAAATGAATATATATATATATTTTTTTTATTGAAAAGGCAACGAAGACAGGGAATGAAAAATGAAACACTAAGTTTAAAGGGAAAACTTTAGTCTTGAGATCTATATTGATTTGACACGTGAAATTATTTAACGATTCTTTAATTACAGAAATATAAATTTACATAGATATTTGCGTCATCCACGCAATAAAGGAGTTACAAATGTGCAAAAATCAAATATTTCGAACGAAATATCAAAAATTCTTATTGGCAAACGATTTTTATTTATATAAGAAGATAACATGTGTCGAATATCACGAAACTGACTAGATTTTGTACAAAGCATTTTACAAATACAAAATATATTTCCAGGTCAAAACAACGAGCTTAAAAATAAATCTTTACGCATAATCGAGTAAATTTTAGACAGAATTAGAACGGAACAAAATTATTTACAGTTTCGTGATATTGTTCTAGAATTATCGTTGCGAGATCTCGCACTTTCTTTATCCTCGCGTGTTCCCTTTAATTCGAACCGTTGAAGAAAGAACGATTCTTCTGTAATTCTATTTCGGCTGAAAAACCGAATGTCCGGTGATTCACAGCCGAGGTAAATACAAATGAGAATCACACCGCATAGGTCCCTCCGAGGTGATAAACTACTACTTGCTGTCTCTCGCGTCGGCGGACCTTCTTTGTGGTCTGCTGGTGGTTCCGCTCTCGGTGTATCCAGCGTACGCACGAAAATGGGTCTACGGGGACGTCGTGTGTCGTCTCGTTGGCTATTTGGAAGTCACTCTCTGGGCGGTATCTGTCTACACCTTCATGTGGATCTCTGTGGATCGGTACTTGGCCATCAGGTACGTCCCACTCGTAAAGTCTTTTTCTTCTTTTTTTTTCACTTTGTGATGTCAGCTGATAAAATTTAAAAGTAATTCTAAAGAAGTCTAGAAATTTGTAAAATTTAGAAATTTATTTTTTGTACGAAATAAGAAACAGAGTTTGGAAGGAATGTCGAATAAATAAGTTTTTAATATTTGCCTAATATTCAAGAATATGTGAAATATGTTAGATATATGATTAATGGATTAGAGAAAAAGTTTTGCGTCTATAGATATATATCGTATGTATAGTTCAAAGTGTATGTATAAACGAAAGGAATGGAACAATATTATTTCGTAATAAATGATATCACATGTTCTTTGCAACAGATTTATTATTTATTAGTTTAAAATTACGAAACAATGTCAGATCTGTTAATTAAGTATAGACCTAAAGTAGAGCGATAACCGATGTCAAGATTATAGATAAACTAAAATCTAGACAACCTTCAACAAACTTTCGACTTACGAACGATCTATCTATATTATTTATTAGAACATAAACTCTATACCCTCGACTCTTCGTTTCAAAATTGACTAAATTCAATCTCAACCTTCAACTCTTCTATCCACACTTCTTTGTTCATAAATAACGCTCAAGAACTTCATTTGAAATCTTGTGAAATTAACATTACGTTACAACGTTAAATCTCGTCAATTATGAGTAACACGGTTCAATCTTTTTCTCTCATCTACGTCCATATCTTTTTCCTCTATCACCAGTGAATTGATATTTGTATTATCAAATTACTACTTTGTTTGTTTGCTTTTCAATTCCATGCATTTTATTAGCACTGCGTTTCCTATCCAATCTATTAAAAACTGTCTCTCAACAAACTTTAAAAGATTTTTCTTCGCATTCTCAATCCTTATACGATAAATATCCTGATACATATAAACATTAGTGGACTGTACTGCACACAAACTACATATATTATTCCAAAACTAGAATGCTTCAATTTTGTAGGTAAAAAAATTTCAGACTCTACTCTTGACACTAGAACTACGAAAATGGCCAAAATGGCCGAAATTTCTGTTGGAAATTTATAATTTATAATTTCTGTTAGGAATTTTGTAGATAGAAAACAGTGTATTTAAGATTTAAATTATTCGAGAAATAAATAAATAAAAGCTTGCGTGATTGAATCATAAAGCTTTTCTATTTTCTTAGACCTAAAATTTCCAACGTCTCCGGAATGAATGGAAATTTTATGCTTCGCACAAGTCGGTAGTTTTAGTGTTAATTTCAACTAATTATCTCTCCCGGTGCGAGCTTTGACTAACGAGACAATTTGTTCTCGCAGGAAACCATTGCGTTACGAGACCGTGCAGACGAAAACCCGATGCCAGTGCTGGATGGTCTTCACGTGGATCAGCGTGGCGATGATGTGCTGCCCACCCCTCCTAGGTTTCCAAAAGCCGATTTTCGACCGGGAGGCGTTCATCTGCATGCTCGACTGGGGCAACATGGCTGCTTACACCATCACACTGTCGATCCTTGTGCTGGGGCCGTCGGTCATCACCATCGTCTATACTTACAGCTACATCTTCACGATGATGAGGCGGCTAAAATCCGGCGTGCTGATACACGACAAGGAGTACGCGACCGCGCTCTCGGAAAACCTGAGCAATCCGAGTCATATCGTATCCTTTGTCCTGGTGATGGCTTTCTGGGTGTCCTGGGCACCGTATGCCGGTCTCCGGATATACGCTCTCGTTAACGGACCGCCGCAGGTAATTTTAAACGTCGATCGTCCTTTGTCGCGCGAATGCTGTTGGAATATACGTTTGTATAGGGGAAAGGTCAGTCTCGATATGTGTTGATACGGAACGTGTTCGCGTATATATTCCTCTCGTTTTCTCTCTCTCCGGTTCAAAATGTTTCGAGAATTACAGCTTTTACGCGGAGTAAAAAGCTCGTGCTCGTTATATCGATATCCTTTTCCTTTTATGTACATTGGTCTTTTTTCACGCGGTGCGTTTTTTTTTTTTTATATATATTTTCTTCCCGTGTGTCGGTTAAAACGTGTGCAAAAAGCAATGTTTCCTGCTTTAATCAAGGTTTTGATCGTTGTTAACACGGTTTTGTAATAACCGTCGATGCACACGCCGCGCTGATTTTATTATTTTTACTTTGACTCATCGGAACGTAACGTTATTCGAGCGATTTAAAAAAAGAAGCAGCAAACCGTGCATCGTGGCGAATTGTTGTTTAAAACAATGATCTTTTAATCAAAGAAATATTACTTGTACCTTTTAAAGAAAAAAAAAAAACCACATAAACGTTAGTTGAAAGGATAATGGCACGAAGGAACAATACTGTTGAAAAATAAAATTACGATTGACAAGAATACTGTATAAATAGATAAATTCCTCAGTTACTCGCTAATAGCGTATCTGCCATCTATATTCATCAAATAATAATATTCCATTGTATACCTGTAAATCTATATCTGGTATTTTAAATCGCTCGAATAATTCACAGATTTTTAATGATTCACGTTGCAGGTACCGTTTCTTCATTTCGCGGTCGTGTGGCTGGGGGTGACGAACAGTTTCTGGAAAGCGGTGGTCCTCGGGACCCTGAGCCCGCAGTTTCGGCTGGCGGTTCGCGTGCTCTGTCTGACGTTGTGCTGCCGGCACAGGCGACTTCCGCCGGAGCTGCTCGGCCTCGACGACGACGATTAAAAAACAGAAAAAAAAAAAAAAAAAAATGCCAAAACGCCTACGAGAACAGGAGGGAAAACGCTTTTTTCCTTATGCGCGCCACGAGCGTTCTACAACACGCGCCCCATTCCTAGAGCATCGCTTTTCACTCACTCTCGGCATTCAAGGCCGTTCCTTGCATCCGCCGCAAAGAGTTCTCTCGGAGTCCTCTTCGACCGCTGAGACTGAGATTCTTTGTTTCGAAAGGCGCTACCCACCAGTCCGATTTTCAGTCCGACCGATCAAAACACGATCAGATCGAGCGTGTCAAAATGCAAGGTAAAAGAAAGAAAAAAAAAATCTTCCGGAAGACAGAATGACTTCTAATCAACGAACCCGCCAAACTTCTCTCCCACTTCAAACAGAGAAGATCCTTTCTTTTCGATCGACTTTCTTTCGGGAACGATCTTCGAGATCTGACCGTCTATCGATTCGCCTTATCGCTGTGCGGATCGATCAGGATTGCTATTTTCCGTTTCTGTCTTCTCGCCACGATGGACGAATTATTTCCAGACGATCGATCGATCGGTCAAAGATCAACGAGCGATTGAATAAGCCGCTCGATAATAAACTTCGGAGACTAAGATTCCCCCTCCCTCAGAACCGGGTATCGCCCTTGTGTATCAGCTCAAGTCTATCCGAAACCGTCGAACCTCACCGCGTGCAATTAGAAATCTGACAGAGGCGATTTGAGAAAAAGAAATCGAGAAAATTAAGAGAACAAAAGAATACGGACTGTCTGAAGAGACACGAACGATCGCTTCTTTGTTAAACTATTCTGATCGTCAATAAAGAAACCGCGTGAAACTGTTGGACTATTCCTTTTTCTATACGACTTCAATTTAACTATAATCGATTGTACGTATATACATATACTGATATACACGATCAAGTGTCTGCTACTAAAAGAATCCGCGTTATCGACGGGAACGTGGGAACGAGCGTGGTGCACG